ACAAATTCTATTTTTATTTCGTTATGGTTTTGTTTTCAGTTCATTTATTATTCTTTCTATCGTTTATTTGACCTGTGCAATTTGTTTTACGTTTAAACGCTACCTCGCATTCTATTTAATAACATTTTTAAGTTTGTAAAAGTTATGAGACTGACATCAGTTTTCCTTATCGGTGACTTTATTTATGTTGCAAAAGTGTAAATGTAAATATCATTTTTTTTAATGTTTTAAATAAAACTGTTTGTTATGAGCTTCAATAACTTGGCGCACCAAGGATGGTGGGAAATGTTTTTCGATATTTTAAGTTTTGTACATAGTTTTTTTTTTTTTCTTCTGTACGTTTTTCTAAATTGTTGTGTATAGAAATATTAATCCCGATATTGATGATATATTCTTTTGTTAGTAGGAAACAATTTAAACTGTTTGGTAGCTTAAGATATCGAAAAATGACTTCTTGGAATAAACTGTTTGGTAGCTTAAGATATCAAAGAAGGACTTCTTGGAAACAACTAACAAAATACCCAACTGTTGATAAACGAACAGAACTATCTAGAGATGTTTTACAGAAAGCAATATCCAACATTAAAAAAGAAAAGTAAGTCTTTTGTCACAATTAAAAATGGTTACCTTACTACTCCTGTTATTAAAAATATATTTTCACTCAAACTTATTCTAATACGGTAAAACTTTAGAACTTACTACTACTTTAGAAGTTTTCATATAAATTAAAAAGATTACCTCATGGTAATCAAAATATGGTTTTACATGTCTAAAATAAATATGTACACTTTCTCCATTGGACATTTCGATACCTGAATAAATGCTGATCATTCTAGGCAGTTGCAGAAAATGAATGCGAACAGAAAGATTAGATATTTTTCCACAACCCAGAAGACTTTGTTCTTGTGTCTCCACCTCTCATCCTTTGTATCCAGTTGATAACTTCCGTGTCTTCTGCTCAACGTAGTTGGTCTTCGAACTCAAACTTCTTGAAAGGTGAACCAGAGTACGAAGCTAGAGAAGATCAATTTGAAGGTTCAAGAACGTGAACGATTTTTCCTTGTAAGGTATCTGTACTGAAACTCTAAAGGATTCGTGATGTCAGTGTAAAAAATACAAAAATTGGTAATTTTGATTTATTAATAGTATCAACGTGGCTTTTCAAAATGGAAGGAGTGTGAGATGGCAAATTCTATTTTTATTTCGTT